TTAATGTGTAATGCATTTTGGAATAATAGATTGATGGAGAATGTGTGATTAAAAATGAAGAAATTTTTTTTTGGGTTGCGTGTAATATTATTTTATTAAAAAATGTATGGTTAAGAAAAAGAAAAATGTATTTTTAAAAAATGGGGTCAAACAGGTTTGGATTATGTTACATGTACATAATTTTTTTACATAATCTTTTACACCCCACTCACATTAGGAGGTGGGAACCACGAGCCGCCATTTTTAAACACACAGGGGCCCCGCACACATTGTGAGGGGGTACACCATTCGATACCCCCATTCGGTACATCCGGCATTTTCCAACAGGTTTAGACATTTTTGTAAAATTTCCCCATTTATTTTTATGTAAAGTTTCACGGCTCACGCTTCAGATGGTTGGACTTTACGTATCATCAGCTGTACTTTCTAAGCAATTTCATTCTAAAATCGACGGTCAATTTATCTTCAAGTGGGCCACTGGTGAGGAGACTATTGACTGGCGCGTCGAATATACTCCATACTTCTCATGGGCCCCTCTATCAGTCGTCATCGTTGTGTCACGCTAATTACAATGGACGGCCATATGTAATTGGATGGAACTTGGGCCCCACTTCAGACGCTCATACCCGAGTAGTATGTATGAGTGACTACACATCAGGTCTTTCGCCTGTACAAGTATTATAAGTCCCCAATTTATTATCTAAGCACCAAGTGGATCCCTAATCTTTTATAAATAAAACTTTAATCCTAGTATTTCTATTTTACAATTGTCTCAATAAACCCCATCTATTCAGCATTTTTAGCCCCTATTTGGTATGGAATAACATTTAGATTTTAATTTAAGTCAAAATCAAAAACTAATTTTAATCACATTTAGGTCCCACAATTTTTAAACCACACATTTCATCAATTTTTATAAAGATTTAATTTTAACTCCCACAAAACAGGAGCTTAATCTAATTTTTGTGTCCCCACCTGGATTAGTGCCTCTCCAAGGTCTCATGGCAGAGTTGCACCTTCTTTTTGTGCAATTACAAATAATAAGGTGAAAAAAAAAACATTTTTACTAAATTTTTAGGGAAGCTTCCATATAAATGGAATGATAAATATTTTATTTATATTAGATCAATGTAATGGAAAGATTTGTTTCGTATATATTTTCCCGAGGATAGCATTACACATTAATAAACATTTTGACTTCTTTATTTTTTTGAACTGACGATGACAAAATGTTGCATTCTACCCCACATTTTCGCGTCCAGTTCGGAATGAAATTCCCCATTTGTGGTACGATTGAGTGGGGAGGGATAACATGGTTTTTTTTTTTCTTCGTACTATTCTAACATTTTTTGTTATTGTCTTGTTTTTTTTTTTTTTTTGAAAATCTCCGATAGGGACGCAGGGTTGGAGATGGGGAGGACCATCGTGGTACGTCTCTATTGCGAACTGATTGTACGACGATAATGAAAAGTTAGAAGGCTAATTTACTCTTGCGAGGACAATGTTTGGGACTGTAGTGCAATTTTCTCTTATTATTAACAAATAATAAAAGCAAGAAAAAAACAAAAGAAGACGAAGACTAGGAGCTCTTCCATTTTTTCTATAGTCACGCACTTCCCATTCACATGTTTCATTTCTCCTCTCTGGAAGTGCTCTCTTTTCTCTCTCTAGAACTCTATGTATATTGCACTTTATTTCTGAGGGCGTCGTGGTTTTTGTTTTACCTTTGTGTGTGTGTTGTACAGTTGAAGTGACGAAATAAGGGGAAACTGGAACCTCTGAGCTGCCGTGGAAATAAATTGGGTTTTTTCTCAGGCCATAAATTAAACCAACGTCAAGCGTTTTCGATCGAGGTATGTTTTCATATTTTTTCCCAAATTTTAACATCAGAGCACTGAATTTTGTCCAATTATGGTGTTCTTGTTGTTTTTTTTTTTTAAATATAATAATATTTGGAAGAAACTTTGCCGGCTTTCTTTGATGCTTTTGATTGTCACAAAGTGTTTAATTTATGTTGTTTTTGAATCAAAGTTTACCTTTTTGGGATGTCAAAATCGAAGCTGAAATAGACTTGTGTTGCTGCAATTTATAGTCGAGCAGAGATATAAAAAGGAAGAAAACTAAATGTGAAATGAAAATTGGGTTTTGATTGTTTTACTTAATTTGAAGTTCTAATTGATTTGTGGATAATTCATTTATTACACTTAATTTTAGAAGAGTTATCTGAAATGGCAGAAGTGTGAGAAGACCTGCACTTTGTGATATGAGAAAGAGTCGTCTTTCATCTACTCAATTAGTTTTGTCAAAAATGCCCTCTTAATCTTCGTTTTTCATCCCTCTTCATTATTTTTTGCCGTTATTACAAGTTTAGTGCGGATGGGACTACTGCACGTAGTTGTATTTACTTCTCCATCCAACCCCTTCTCTACAAAACCTAATCCTCCTTCCCCTGTAACTAGATCCAGCACAAGCATCAAGTGGTTTGCTCTATACATGTATTTTAAGGGCCTGTTAAACTCTAATATTATCCGGGAATTTGATTTTAGAGGGAAAGGGAGATGGACCTCAACGGTGTGCAAATAATGCACTTACCGATTTTTTGAAAGCACGGTTGGTATAGTGGATGATGAAGGTGACATCACCAAGATAGAACGGTCATGTGGCGGAGAATGGAAAGTACAAAACAGGGATTGATTTGGTCGAACAGTGGGTCCTATTGACTTACTTGGCATTCAGTTAACAATTTATGCATACGTGTCTATTTGACCCTTGTTCTATATTTTAACGGATTCATGGTAGAGAAAAACTGATATTCGCTCGAAAAGAAGAGAAAGGGAAAATATTGACTTGTAGAAAATTTATTAAATTGAGAACGGTTTCTATCCCTGTAGGGGATCATAACAAATTTAAATTTTATGCTTAATTTGTTTTGAAGCTCCCGTTGGATGGCTTCTTTTATGATTGTGAATAAATAGGTTTAATAGAACATTGATATTTTACCTGTTTGCTTTTTTTTTTTATTCTTTTTATATCGTTTTTGTGAGTGAGGTTTTTAGTCTGGAAACCCTCATGCAGAATATCTAAGAGAAGTTTCAAGGATTTGTACTGCAGAAACTGTTGAGAAAGGAAAATGTTGGAGGGTCCAAAATTTACTGGGATTATCGACCTAAACTATGCCCCTGACAATTACAATCTCTCACAAAATTTTTATCACAAGCTCAATGAGGGGTCTAACATGTCAACTGATAGTTATGGGAGCTTGCAGATGAGCAATGGTGGAGGTTCTGTGGACATGTCGACAGTCAACAGCAGTGTTGGATCAAATGGTTCCCGCACACGCATCTTGGGCCATCAGGGCCTCAAATATGTCAAAAACTATTTTGATGCTGCAAGTGTCAATCGTGGGAGAGTCTCTCATGGGCTGAGCGATGATGCTCTAGCTCAAGCTTTGATGGACCCTCAATATCCTACAGAGGGGCTTGGAAATTATGATGAGTGGACGATTGACTTGAGGAAGCTTAACATGGGTCCCGCTTTCGCTCAGGGGGCTTTTGGGAAGCTCTACAAGGGTATTTATAATGGTGAGGATGTTGCGATTAAGCTTCTGGAGAGACCAGAGAACGATGCAGAGAGAGCACACTTGATGGAGCAGCAGTTTCAGCAGGAGGTTATGATGTTGGCAAGGTTGAAGCACCCGAACATTGTTCGCTTTATTGGTGCGTGCCGTAAACGCATGGTCTGGTGTATTGTGACTGAATATGCAAAGGGGGGTTCATTGCGTCAGTTCTTGACAAAGCGGCGAAACCGATCTGTGCCTTTGAAATTGGCTGTAAAGCAGGCACTGGATGTGGCTAGAGGAATGGAATATGTGCATGGCTTAAATTTGATTCACCGTGACTTGAAGTCTGACAATCTTTTGATAGCTGCTGACAAATCGATCAAGATTGCTGATTTTGGGGTTGCCCGTATTGAGGTGCAGACTGAAGGAATGACACCGGAAACAGGGACTTACCGCTGGATGGCCCCGTAAGTTTATTCGTCTTCTTTCTTACTTCTGCTATGATTATTCCTTGCCGACTTATGTAATAAGTCTCAGCATTGATTACTTTCAGGTTGTTTCAATTTTTTTAAGCATCCATACATTATAATGTTTTCTAGTTCCGTCAAATGTCTCTTATTGCAGGTAAAACATACGAAGTGTGCTGAATAATTACTTGCTCGTGTATGTTTTTTAGATATTCTCTTGAACTTTGCCATCTAGCCAAGGTTCCTTCCCCTCCTTACCTACCCCTAAGGAAAGGGAAAAGCAATTGGAGTGGGAATTTGTGTTTCCCTTTTAGTTTTGGCTGATCGATTGGGTTATTCCTCTGTTATATTGTACACTATTATATTTCGTGGCAGTTGTTCCTCCTGCTTTTACTCCCAGGCTGTCAGCTTTAATCACTAGCCCAAAAAAAGTATGTTGCAGCAACTTCACAAGATTGTTTTCCCTTCCCGAAAAGATGAGCAAAGCAAAATTGGTTGTGCGATTAAAACTGAGGAACTGCAGTTACATAGGCGAAATGTCTTAACCATAACTGGGAGTTCTATAGTTTGATGAATTTTCTAGTTTTTTTCAAGCTTTTACCCAAAAATTTTCTCTCCACACAAAATTGGATATTCATTCAACCCTTGTTTGAAAGTGACTTTCTCAAAATCACTTTTCCTCAAACTTTTTTTAACCATTCTCGCAATAAAATAAATTTGCATGTGGGCCCACAACATTTCCATACTTGTTAACCACACATTCTCAAAAAAATCACTTTTCACAAAATTACTTCTCAAAAAATCGACATCACACAAGGACTTAATGTAAAAATTATTGTCAGTGTCAATTGAAGTATTATCCTACTCTAACAGCTCTGCTATCATCATCCATCCATTGATAACTCACAATAACAAAATTTACAGAAGTCATCCGTCGATATGAGTTAACCAAATCGAAAGATTTTGTCAGCGCAGCATAGGATTTATGATGGGTGAAGTTTTTACCTTAGTTGCATGCACTAACCTAAAATAATAAATTACTTTATGAATGTCATGTTAGAACAAACTTGACTCTCAATTTACATATCAACATTTTAGTGGAAAGAGATACAAGAGGTGGAGGATTCTCTTTGAGTGGCTAAAATAATATGATAGGAAGCAAAGCTGAAAAAATCTAAACAAGTGGATATGATTGTGCAGCCAAGTATTGAGGAAGGTACATTCTTTTTAATAAATTTTATGTTATAGTGCAGGGAAAATTGCACCATTGATCACCAACCTATTACCAAGTAGTGAGTTGGTCTCCAGCTTTTAGAAAAAAGCAAGTGATCCTCGACCTTTCGTTATAGTTGCAAAATTAACTGTGATGATGGGAAGAGTTCAAATCTCTGTTTAATCATCATTTATTGGACAATGAGCACAGTGATTATATTGTCTATAGCTGACGATCCTGTTACTCTTCATATGCAGTATGTTCTTAACTGTCAGCAGTAAACTGATAAAGTGAAGGAGACTAGTTTTACATAAGCTGAAATAGTTTAGGCACCCTTTTATATGAACTCAGTCTAGTTGGATGGAACCTACCAGACCTCGTAATTTGTCACGTGCCTCGAGGAGTGGGATAATACAAGATAATTGCAATGCTCAATTCCAATTCCTCAGGATAGGTTCAGTCTATCTATACTGGATTTAGCTGACCATTTGCTACTAGTATGATGATATGTTTGTATAAAGTGGATGATCTCAAATTAAATCCTAGGCTTGTTACTAAATCAATTTTATAATTTCAATAAGAAGCGGCCTTAAACCTGTCACAGGAGAAATTGTCATGATTTCGTTAATGGTTCTCCTTGGAATTTGTTATCAGTTTCAAATTGGAAGCTTTGTCAGAAAAATGCATCCAGATAAGGATGCTTGCTAAATTGCTAATTTGTTCTTTAGGTAATTGGAATGTCATGAAATGATGTACTATGTCAGTAATCATCAGATGAGATAATAAGTATCAACCTTCTCATGAGAGATGATGTTAGACTTACTTTTTGAGAAAATGTGTTGCAACTATAAATGCTCAACTTTATTGTGGGCTCACATTCATTTACCTTTTTAAATATGAAATACATCGCATTAAATGCATTTTGTTCTTTTTTAAACTGCATCGTCCGTTCAGGCATGGATAGTATATATCTCTGTTAGTGACCGTTTCTATTTTTCTACTGGATAAATAACTGTACAGTGAGATAAGTATTTATTAGCTAGACTTGTCCACTTGATACTTGTCAGATATTCTGGAGGTCATATATTATTCATTTGCAAAGTTTTGCAAGAAGTATCTCTGATCTGTGATGCACAGGAGTGTTCGTGGCGCAATTAGATGTTAATATGCTGAACTTAATGATTGTTATGCTTGTAAGTTGCAGATGTCAAATCTGGATCTATTTACTTCTTGGTAGAGGTATTAATGTGCCAGTGATGGATGCGCAAGTAATTCTAAATAGGTCTTGTTGTCATCGAATGTTCATATTGATATTTTGACTGTTGGTGCTTTTGGTTTTTACTTGAAAGATGTTTCCGTAGTTAAATGTGGGGCTTTAAGTTGTGGCTTTTCATCTTTGCTGACTATGGTTATGTTACTAGTGTTGAATGATTAATAGAAGCAACAAGTCTTTGATGTTGCTTTTGCATCTACACAGGCACCATTGGAGTTCACAATGGTGCTTAAAATTATTGTCTATAAGAAATTTCATTGGGTTGCTCAGTGCGAGTCTACTGAATGTTCCCATTAAAAGATTGGAACTTGATATTCGACATCACCGCCTCAATGCTTTCCCTTTTTTTCCTAATTTCTTTGTAGGTATTCAATATTTATTTATGGCTACTCGAGTGCATTTTATTCTGAATTTACAGGGAAATGATCCAGCATAGGCCTTATACACAGAAAGTTGATGTGTATAGCTTTGGGATTGTCCTGTCAGAGCTTATCACAGGGATGCTTCCCTTTCAGAACATGACTGCTGTTCAGGCAGCATTTGCTGTCGTCAACAAAGGCGTCCGTCCAAACATCCCCAATGACTGCCTTCCTGTTCTCAGTGAGATCATGACCCGCTGCTGGGATGCTAACCCCGATGTTCGGCCATCCTTCGGCGAGGTGGTAAGAATGCTCGAGGCTGCAGAAACCGATATCATGACCACAGTCAGAAAGGCTCGTTTCAGGTGCTGCATGAGTCAGCCGATGACTACTGATTGATGCAAAGAGAGTAAAGAATTGAAAAGGAAACTCATGACATCTGATAGTATGTCATCTCTGTATGTATCAGGCTTAATTTCTTTCTTCAGATAGAAAAGGAGATGAAATTTATGATAACTGCTTGTTTTGTGTTTCTCTTCCAAATTTTTGGATTGAAGATGCAATGAATTAGTAGCAACAATGGTGATTTGATTTGTATTTATACATGCCCTTTGTTCTCTTTAAAGCATACACGAAGTCATCTTTTTCTATAACATAAAGAACAAGTCAATGGAATTTGTTAGATATGATGGACGGCCGACCAGTGATCTTTATGTTGACTATACTTGGCACCCTTACTTCGAGCCATCTTTTCTGTCTTATGTTCTTTGATAGAGTGCACAAAATTAGCTATCGTGTCATATACAGTTTTAGTAAAAAAAAAAAAAAAGTTCAGGTGAACTCTGCAGGTCTACTTTGAACTCGTAAATCTTAAAAATGGTTTAGACCATTTGAGCCACCCTAAACAAACCCCCAGCCTTCCTTCCAAACATGCACAGGGGACTCGTATGCCCAGTTCATGAAGAGTCGAAAGGCTAATCCCATCTGGGTTGATACCCATCGAACAGCTTTAAGATGAAGAACGACTTAGAAAATACAAAATGAAATAAACATTACAGAAGAATGTATACAACTCGTATGGCTTTCACCAGAATCTTTCTAACCTTAGTCATCAGGTTGCAGAATACAAGGTTTTGAGTAATTGAAAAGTCATCCATTTTGATAAAGAATAATGTTTTGTGTATAATCCATGGTTGACAAGAAATTTGA